GTGATTTTATGAAAACCCAATGAAAATGTTTTTAAATAATGCTGTGAATTTTTTTTTAAGTCAATTAAATTTTAAAAAAGGAAAGTGCTTCAGTATCGGACAAAACTCCTACCGCCCACCATGAAAGCTGGAACGCCCACTAGTGGGTGGTAGGGACCAGGTTGACTACCACTGATTTAGTGGCTTATCTAAGTGTTCACCAAGACCCTTAGCATATAAAAGAACCAAGGGTCACACAGTAAATTGGCACAGCAATTGTTTAAAGACAGAAGAAAGTCCCATTTTTAGCATCTCTGACATTTCATTTTTTTAAAAAAACTTTAGACAGTTAGGGTAACATAGCAAGCCTTCAGCGTAAGTTAAAATTACTATTAATGAACAATCTACTTCAACATTGTCTAATCTGATAATTTCCAGATGTGTTGGACATAATGAGGATTTACGTGCAATCCATCTGGAGAAATACATCTGTCTCATATTGCAGCGGCCTTGGGATGCCACAGTCATCACAGGGGGGACACGGAGGCTTGAAGAAATGTTATGATTTAAATCTTGAGTTAAGGTCTTGGGGGGTCCCTGGCCACAAAAAAGTATTTAAAGGGGTCCGTGGTGAAGAAAAGGTTGAGAACCACTGACAGCTTGATAGCTGGGAGGCAGGAGAGCACACGGGAAAAGCAGAACCCAAGAGGACATCAATTTTTAAGGGTTGATTTTTTCAAATGCTGCTTAAACAGCTGCAAAGATAGAAGAATAGCTGCAGGGATATATAAGATAATTTAGGAAGTCAAACAATCCCAGAAAACGTTGTATTCTTCAAAAACCTTTCAATGGTAACATTGCGTTTATACATTTTATACTTCTAGAGATGATAATTGCATACTGTAGTGTACTGGATCCTAACACTGACACTCTACTGCACAATCTCAGTAATCAGGAAAATGTTGGGAAGAGGAACAATATTCTCCTCTTGGGTCAACAAGGGCAAATTACACATAAAAAGCAAAGATTTGTGTAACTGGCAATTTCACTTAAGTCCCCAACTTCTAGTTCTATAATAGGCTTGAATAAACACACTACTTAAGCATCCAGATGAAAGATTGTTTGTTCAGTAGACACAATCTAACTCGGTATTTCCCCTAAAATTCATTAAAGCCTAATGAAAAATCAATACATAAACACAGGTAGTCCTCGACTTAAGACCACAATTGAGGCCCAAATTTCTGTTGTTAAGTGAAGCATTTGTTAAGTGAGTTTTGCCTGACTATGCCTGACCTTTCTTGCAAACAGTTGTTAAGTGGATCGCTGAAGTTAGTAACCAGGTTCTTAAGTGAATCTGGCTTCCCCATTGACTTTGCTTGTCAGGAGGTTGCAAAAGGGGGTCACATGATTCTGGGACACTGCAAATGTCATAAATATGAGCCAATTGCCAAGCCCCTGAATTTTGATTATGGGATCAGGGAGATGCTGTAAAGGTTGTAACTTGAAAAATGGTCGTAAGTCCCTTTTTTCAGTGCCGTTGTAACTTGGAACGGTCACTGGAGGAACTGTTGTAAGTCGGAAACTACCTGTACGTAACACTCTGAACAATTGTAATAAACTACAGATTGGTGCCATGTTTCTACTCACCGTACTACTTTGATGCCGTTGCGCATAACCTCCATGTCAACAGAAAAATTGCCATTAGCATGAGCCACCAAGTTCAAGTCACAGAATTCTGCCTGGTAGAAACAAAACAAAACCACATTCATACATCCTCAGAGCTGCTACCACATCAACTTTTCAAGGTATGGGGGTACCCTTGATTATTGCTCCAGCCCACAGAGCAAGTTGTGTATCAACATATGCAAACCGAAGCTGGGTTGTCTTTCAATTCCAGAGAACAGCGTGGTCCTTTAGATATTTCTGTCAGAAAATCAGCAAGACTAGATAAGTTTCTTTTGAAGAAAAATTGCCCATCACATCAAACAACTAGTTCAAAGTAGGAGCGCGGTGGTTTGTGTGGTTAGGACACTGGGCTGACAATCAGCAAGCCCACATTCGAGACCCAAGTGCTACTGTGCAACGGGAGAAGCTCTCCATCATATGTTCCAGCTTCTGCCAACCCAGCAATTTGAAAGTGAGTAATCACTAGTGGCTCAGTGGCTAAGACACCAAGCTTGTCGATCAGAAAGGTTGGCAGTTTATTTACTTATATTAGATGGTAAATCTGTGGCTGTAAATGTAATTGAGAATATGGATGCAAAAACACTTGTAACCAAACGACATGCTGTATGTAATGGATGAGAATTTTTTTAATGTTTTTTTAATGTTTAAAAATAAAAAAAATGCAAAAAAAAAAAGAAAGTTGGCAGTTTGTCGGTTCAAATCCCTAGTGCCACATAATAGAGTGAGCTTCCTTTACTTGTCCCAGCTTCTGCCAACCTAGCAGTTCAAAAATATGTAAAAAAAGCAAGTAGAAAAATAGGGACCACTTTTGGTGGGAAGGTAACAGCGTTCCGTGCACCTTCAGCATTTAGTCATGCCAGCCACATGACCACGGAGACGTCTTCGGACAGCGCTGGCTCTTCAGCTTTGAAATGGAGATGAGCACTGCCCCCTAGAGTCGGGAGCGACTAGCACGTATGTGCGAGGGGAACCTTTACCTTTTAAGCACAAGTAGATAACACAGGTACCACTTTGGTGAGCACTTTAACAGGAATATGAAAGGAGGCCCCAACCGGGTGTCCCATGAGCACTGGTGATATCATTTGATAATCCTTTCGACCCAGAAGCACCTCAGTGCTTCCGACACAAATGAAAGCAACTTCAAAGTTCACTAAGTTATTAGGACCATAGCATGTAACAACATGACATGGAATTAAAAAAGAATGAAATTAGTGATAAGAAAAAGAAAACAACAAAGAAAAGGCATTTGAGATAATTAAATTAAGATGGAACCGGTACTATAGCCGAAAACTATTTTTTTTCCTAAGTTTAAAAGATAGCATGACAAAGATAGTGACCTGACTGCTAATAATTGGAATCACATCCACAGGTAAGGTAGTCATCATTCAATATTCAACTCCTTGAATTTACCCTTTTCCCCCGTTTTCATGATACAGACTTCCTCAGCAATCTACAGAAGATGGAGAATTTTGAGGGGTTTTCTCAATAGCCATTCTCAGCTCCCAGAGAGTGTCCATGAAACCAAAGAGTGACCTCAAACTAAATGAATTTGTGTCAACTTCCAGAAATCTCCTCTAAATTCAGAGATTTCCCAAGTGCTTCCTGATAAAAAAAAAATTATGTATTTAATTATTTTATGTGTTTTAATTATACTTAAATAGTTTGTATGGTTTGCCTTAATCGTGAATTTTATTAAATGGTCAAAAATGGTCTGGCTGCACATGCGAGACTAAAATACTTATTTGTTAGGTGTATATATCCATTCCAAAGCCAAGAACTCAACTTAATATATATTGTATCCTTTCTTCTTGTTTCTCCTCAATCAACCTGTGCAATAGATTGGGCTGAGAGATAATGACTGGCCCATGGTTAAAGATGAACCTAGACCTTCCTCATTCTAACCCAACATTTTAACTACTACAATCCAGTTTTGAGTCATGATCATATGAAAATCATCTAAAAGTCTAGACTGAAAATAATTTCTAGAGGTAGACAGAAGTTCACCAACCCCATAAATCATGTATGATAGGACTTTACCGTAAGGGTTGGGGGAAAAGTTAATTTTGGAACTATCCTAGTTCCAATCCTGGAACAGGATGGGATTCCCATCAGGATTACTTACTTTGAATTCATTCTGAGTTTCATTTTAAGGGCTTGTATAGAAACTACATGCTGGTAGCATTTAACACCTCTCCTCCTTGGACTTCATCCAACGGATTCTCGGCAGAAAAATATAATCTAAATGGTGAGGTAACTTCCTTGAAATATATCTTGCTCATCATGTCTAACCTTCGACCCTCTGGAACGAGCTCCCCGCGGAGATTCGAACCCTCACCACCCTCCAGGCCTTCCGCAAAGCCCTTAAAACCTGGCTTTTCCGACAGGCCGGGGGCTAAAGGGCTTTTGCCCCCCCCCCCCTCTCGAATGGTATGGTTNATTTTTAATAGGCATGAAACACTGACGGAACAGCGTTCCGTGCTCCTTCAGTATTTAGTCATGCCAGCCACATGACCACGGAGACGTCTTCGGACAACTCTTCAGCTTTGAAACAGAGATGAGCACTGCCCCCTAGAGTCGGGAACGACTAGCACATATGTGCGAGGGAAACTTTTACCTTTACCTATGTTTTTTAGAAACTTATATCTATCACATGTGACACAAATCCAAAGTCAAACTTAAGGGGGGGGTTGTATTCTCCCAAGAAAGTTTGTATTTATTTTCCAATAAACCTGAACAAGGAATATAATTAAAAGTCTTGCATCGGTTCTGTGTTCTCCTTTGTTCATGCATGATGTGCTCCTGATTTTTTCCATAGTATTTAATCAGATCTCTTTCTTTTGGTGTGGATGTGTGTGTGTGGTGGGGTGTTGGTGTGTGAGAGAAATAGTTCTAATACTTTAGGGGATGCAAAAAAAGGGGGGTCATTCCTGCACCTTTGGATGCTAATCTTCTGGAGAAATAGAATATAAAGGTGGACAATTAACTTGTCAAGAAGAATTTGTGACCGTCTGATCATCGGGATGCCAAATCTCCTGTCATTAAAAGAGACTGGGAAATTAATTGTCTTTTAAAGCATGTCAAATCCGATGACAACATTATGGAGGAATAAGATTGTGAGTGCCTTGTGGAGGGAGCCCAAAATCAAAGCTGCATCTGAATCGGCAATGGCTGGGGGAAATCTTCCTGCTTTCGTTACAATGGGGTGTAACGTGTTGCACGTGGTTGACGTCTTCCTACGGATAGAAAAGAGGTGGGGCTTGCATTGTGATGCGACAATGCTGCTTTAAGCCATTCCTCTTGCACCCACTATGCATCACCACCACCACTGTCCTCCCTAATGCCAGTTTATCTCAATTTAACTCAAAGCAATACAATACAACTCCCTCTTATTGGTTTTATGATTATAATTACTATTACTTTGTTGATTTGCATGTGCACTGAGAGCTTCTGCACTGGAGACAGATTCCTTGTGTGCAGTGGTGGGTTCCAAAAATTTTTTGAACCTACTCTGTGGGTGTGGCCTCCTTTGTGGGAGTGGCTTGCCGGCCATGTGACCTGATGGGAGTGGCTTGCCGGCCATGTGTTCTCTCTCTCTCTCTCTCTCTCTCNGGCTGGATTGCTGCCAAGCCTTATCTGTGTTTATAGCTGCCTGAGTTTGTCTGAGTTGTTGCCAAGGTCCTTATCTGTTTGTTCTGCTTGGCTTTCAGCCACCAAGGTTTTGGTGTTTTGCTAATTAAAGTACATTCCAGTTAAGCTTGTCTCGACATTCATTACTGGACAGAGGAGGGGGTCAGAACAGGTTTCCTCTCGTAACTAAAGTTAAGACTACCATATTTGGACTGCACTGACTTTACTCAAAAGTAAAGGAAGCATGGAAGCCTGAGTAAACCTTCAAAGGAGCTTAGAAACACTAGGCCAATCAAGTTGAATGGGAATGCAGAATGGGCTTGGCTGATTGAAAGCCATATAAATCGCCAAGATTATGAGCAAGGGGACACCTGACCTGGGCACCAATGTTCCTTCAAGCAGTCCCTGGTTGTCACCCTGGAGACCATACTCTGCACTCACCAAATTGCCGCTCTAAGAATTCATTAGTGAAGCTTCTGAGATGTCACGCTCCACATTTAATTGCTTTCAAGTGAAGAGGGAATGGATCAACTGGTAAAATAGAAATGCCGCTTGATGACATGTGTTCCTTCCATCTTCATCATCTCCCTTGTCTCAACCTCTTCATCATACTTAATATGCATCCGAGATCAACTGCTTTTCATCGTATAATTTTGTCTCCAAGAAGAGATATTAGGAAGTGTCGGTAGCCATGAACTGGAATTAAATAAGGTTTTAAAACTAACTAGATTTGTTCTTTTTCAATATGGTGTTTGAAAATTGGTAACATTCAGTTGGAAATAACATAGCACTATTAATCTCTCTCTCTTTCTCTCTCTTTCTCTCTCTCTCTCCCTCTCCCTCCCTCCTTCCCTCCCTCCCTCTCTCTCTCTCCCCCCCACACATTTTTCAAGTGTGGTGTTCACATTGTATATAGTTAATTAATTAATAATCAGTGATATATTATAATATGTTAATACAGAATATTTTTGGAGCCAAACCATTCTCTAAAAAGAAATATGCATAAAAGTAGGAGGAATTTTTTTTATGGTTCAAGTTATTTCAGTTGTTTCTCTTCTCTCCAGGTTCAAAATTAGCTTTCAATTTCATTGTATATGAAAACATGGAATTCCTCTCAATTTTACATTGAGGATTGTAATACACATTATTCGTTTTTCATAATTCTTTACATAAGCATCCTGAAATTTTGCTTTGTTCAATTGTTGAGCTGGTAAAACAAGAGCATTATATATAAGAGCCGAGGTGGCGCAGTGGGTAGAGTGCAGTACTGCAGGCTACTTCAGCTGACTGCTAACTGCAGTTCGGCAGATCGAATCTCACCGGCTCAAGGTTGACTCAGCCTTCCATCCTTCTGAGGTGGGTAAAATGAAGACCCAGATTGTTGGGGGCAAATATCCTGACTCTGTAAACCACTGAGAGAGGGCTGTAAAAGCACTATGAAGCGGTATATAAGTCTAAGTGATATTGCTACTGCTATTTAGACGAGTCTAGGATAATTTGCATTGGCCACATTACAGTATTGTGCCTATTTCTCCACTGCAGCTGACCCACTCTACTGGTGTTTATACTTGACAGGTCTTCCAGCAGCACTCCTCCCCTGGCAATGATCAGTAGGCACTCATTCCTTGTCCTCTTCTCCCAGTCAATTCACCCTTCTCCCAATCAATTCACCTTCTCCCAGTTGATTCACACTTGTCCCTGAGCGTTTTGTTGATTGTGGGTCAGCTGCAGAGGGTGGGTGGGTGGCAGTGGTGGGTTTCAAAAATTGTTTGAACCTACTCTGTGGGTGTGGCCTCCTTTGTGGGAGTGGCTTGCCACCCATGTGACTGGATGGGAGTGGCTTGCTGCCAATGTGACCGGATATGAAGATGCCGA